GTGTAGGGTTTATTGCTTGGGGCTTAGGGTTTAGAAAGCCCTAAACCCAACCTGGACCCTGAAGACCCTACCTTCTTTAGCCCCCCCTATTTTTCCTTGTTATATTCAGGTCTCAAAAAGCTAGGTTCTTCAGGGCCCAGGAAAGCCCTAAACCCAAATCCCGAGCCCGAATTCCGAAGCACAGATTCCTAAACCCCAAGACGCTAACTGTCTAACCCTTAACCTGAAACCCTAAACCAAAATTCGCGGATTCGTCTTGGCTTCCCACCTTTCGCAGCCGGGCCCATTGCTAGGCCTGGCTTCGGGTTTAGGGATTTTTGCTTAAATGTGCAACGGACGTTTGTTTAGGGTTGGGTTTCAAGCCCGTGCTTTTTGATACTTCCGGCTTCGCGGCGAAAATTTTATAGGATTCTGTGGTTCCGGAATTGGGATTTGGGATTTTGGGTTTCAGGATTTGCGGTTTAAGGATTCGCTGCGAAAGTTCGGTGCTCCTTTCAGGGCTCTGGTAGCCTAGAGTGTTTTTACGGGGTTCCTTGATGAGTTCCTTCAGGGGTTTAGGATGGTTTTGGGGTTCAGGGGTTTAGAGGTCTGGGGCTTGGGGTTCACCGGTATGGGGGCTTCGAGGTTTTAGGGGATTCAGAGCTTTAGGGCTTTGGGAGTTTGAGGGGTTCAGAACTTTAGAGGTTTACAAGTTTAGGGGTTTGGGGGCGTTCGGGTTCGGGGCCCCATAACCCTTAACCGCTAAACCCTAAACCGGGCTTTGTTCTTCGCTGTCATCTGCTTGATGTGAGCATCTGCAAGCCCTGCACCCGGCTCAAGTTTAGCGTTTAGGGCTTAGAAATTAGGTTTTTGTTTTTTTTTTTAGTGCAATGGGCCTTTTCGTGAAACTAGCGTTTAAGGTTTAGGGTTTCGGGTTTAGGCATGACCGTAGCCATCCCCAAAGAGCAAACTCAAAACCATCCCTGGATTTCCGCTTGAGCGCTACTTGGGGGTTCATGGGACTTAGTAAGTACAGTTATACTAAGTACCCTAACTGAGGTTATTTTGTAAGTATAGTTACCTTATTTATAACCATAGTTACTCGGTCCCATGAACCTTTAAGTACCGCCACGGCCTCAAGGCTTGGAATATGCCTTGGGGGAGTATGTTCTTGACAAAACACGGACTGCACCCCAAATACTAAACCCTAATAGGCCCCAGATCCCTAAACCACTAAACCCCTAAACCCTAAACCCCCAAACCCCTATAAACCCTAAACCCTTAACCGTGATAGTTTTACCAGTTAGTCAAGCGCCTAAGTCCAATGTTCTGCCCAGGACGAACGATACCCTACCCACGGCTGAGAAACTTCACAGGTGCCTGGGATTGTGGAGCTTAAGGCGAGGGCCTGGTAGTGGGATTAGGGTTCTGCGTTTAGGGTTTAGGTTTCTCGCTTAGGTTTAGGAATCAGGGTTTAAGGGTCGGCATGGTGGCCACCGGTCAAAGAGGTTGGGACATCTATGCAGGGATAACGTTCCAGTCCTAGGCAAATAGGTGGGAGAAAACACATAGCTTGAGACCGAAAAGAGTATGATATAGCTACGGACATAGCCATCGTTGCAACATGACAACAACTTGACTCCCGAACCCTACATGAGGGGTGCAGTGTCTTGAGGTTTTTGGGTTCGTAGGACTTAGGGCTATAAGGGCTTAAGGTTCTTGAGGTCTTTAGGGTGTTAAGAGTTTGAGGGTTAGGGAGTAGGCCTGTTTGCTTAGGGGTTTACGTGTTCAGGGCTCCCCACCTCTCAGAGACTCCAATATCCCTCAATCAAGGAATATTCCTTAAATTTTAGTCGGACCCCTAATATGATTTAAGGAATATTCCTGAATTAAGGGATATTGGGGTCTCTAATCTGTTCTGTCAACCTATCTGCTCTCTTCAGTGCTTTCCGGGAAAATCTTTTCAGGCTCCTAGACTCTGGTGTCCTTAGAGATCCCTTATAGTAGCCCTTTAAAGGCCACCTTTAAAGGAACCCTTAAGTAAATTATATCACCGGCAACGGCCAAATCTCTCCATCGAGATCTACTTGGAGAATCATGGGACTTAGTAAATAGGGTTATAAGTACCTCAATTGGGGTTATAAGTAATTATAACTGTAGTTACTTTACTTCTAACCCTACTTACGAAGTCCCATGAACCTTTAAGTAAGGAGGCAGTTGAGGATCCCCGTAGTCTTGGGCTTGTGGGGTTACGGTTGCATTCGTCATATAAGGGCCGTAATAGAATTAGGGTTCCTTTAAAGGAGTCTACAAGGGCTTCTTTTAGGGATCTTTAAGGGTACTATAATAGAGGGGCCCAGTATAGCACAAATAGACTCAGGAACCCCCAGCATATAGGTAATTATTTAGGTCTCAGTAGTAGCGGCCGTGGGCTGAGTAACTCGGAAGACGACCACAACATGGAGGCTGCACCACAAAGCCCACGGCTTGATCCCCAACACTTGTCCTCAGAAGGTTTAGGGTTTCGGGTTTACGGTTTCAACAGTAGTAAGAATACTAATGGCAGAAAATATATCAAACAAGAGGAAGAAACTATTAAGAATATTGCGAACAGAAGTATCACTAACAGCAGCAGTATTAACGAAAGGGCTGACTAGACTCTCGGCTTGGAAATCGTCTCGAGTTCGAACGTAGTCGCGTGACTTTGTGGGTGAGGGCTTCAGGGCTTGGCATGCTGGGGATCCGATTTGAGGGACTAAGGGCTGTGGGGTTTAGGGTTTGGGGTTTGGGTTTTTAGGGTTTTAGGCTTGGGGTTTGGGGTTTAGGGGACGTCGAGGGACTAAGGGGTTTGGGGTTTTGAGTTGAGACAGCTATTTGCCCGATCACACAGACCATTAGACCATTGAACTCCTGGCATCCCGACTGTGCACCCCGAATCCATCTAGTTCAACGGGCCTTGCTACTTGGTAACAATGAAGACCGTCAAAGATGGAGCGGGATCGAGGGCACTAATATTCACAAAAGTGTAAGAAAACCAACAGCAACAACAAACAAAATCATGCGAGTAATCACGATAACAAAAATAACAATCATCAGTGTATGTCAACACTTAGTTTCTATAATACTGCTAGTAATAAGAACACGAATCGTAATAACAGTAACAATAGTACTAGTGCAACAATAACATCATTCATATCAAGGACAGTACTAGCATTGCCAATAACAATTGCAATAATCATAGTGATATTCAGAGTCATAGTAATAGTCAAACTCGCAGTGATAGTAATAGCAACTAGCAATAGCATTAGTAATGGTAAGTAATAATATTACTTAACAGCAAGGGCAATAGTAATCGAAATAGTACTAAGAAGGGCCATACTCATAATAGTATTCTAGATAGCAATAGTATTGATGATAATTGTAGTAACAATAGCAATAGTAACGGTAGCAGTAAGAGTAAGAGTAGTAATAAGAGTAAGAGTACGAGAAACAGCAAGAGTAGTTAATAGTAGTAGACGTGGTCATAGTCATGACCAAAGTGGTAAAGGTAGTAATGGCAACAGTCAGAGTCATAGTAATCAGCAATAGTAACAGTAATAGTGATAGCAATAGAAAAAATGAAATTCATACTAACGATAGTAGTGATAATAGCAATACCGATAGTATTTTTTACGATCACTAAACGTAACAATGATGGCAACAGTAGTGACAGCTTCAGTACCGAGTAACAGTCATAGTAAGAGTAGGAGTAAGATAGTAAAGGCCATAGTCACAGGAATACTACTAGTAACAAGTGATAGCATTACAAATAGCAAGGGTAAAAGAGTAACAGTGAGAGTAATAGCAATATAAGCAGGAACCATGGCTCTAGTAGTGGTAAGTAGTCATAGTAAGAGTGACAGCAATAATATTACAAATAATAACAATAGTAGTTAGTAGTAGTAATGATGGTGATGGTACTACGGTATCTCTCAGTATTAATAAGAAAATACAGCAGAATAACAGTAAACATGAAGAATGATCAGGTGATGCTACAGATGGCTACGATTACTCATAGTAGTGCTAAAAACAAGACGAAGAGGAAGAGGAAGAGGAAGAACAAAAGACATGTTCATGATAACAATACTAGTCAGACTAATAGCAGCAAGAGTAATGATGATTGCAATGATAATCATAATGGGCTGCCGAGCGGCTGTGAGTGCCCCAGCACCACTGAGGTCAAGCGGCTGCGAGCAGTACCGTGAGAAAATCTGCGTCCCTCGTCTCCACAACTGAGGAGAAACGGCCGCAGGAAAGCATTCGAGACACACATTCCGTTCCCACACTTATGCCCCGCAGAGTTACACTAGGACTCTCCCATTTTTTATGTGGGGCCAGCGCATACGCGCGTGGCACTGGAGGGCACCCTCCGGTGTGTCGATATCACACTTGGAAGAAGGGCAGGGGACTTAGTAAGTAGGTTCTAAGTAGAGTTGTAAGTACCCTAAATGGAGTTACCCCAATTATAACCCTACTTATAACCTGCTTACTAAGTCCCCTGCCCTTCCAAGCAGGTTATTATATGCTCTGATGACTCCGGAATAAGAGCCCTGTGCGGATACTACAGGGTATTACAGAGTGCATTACGGGGTTTAGGATATCGGATCCTATTAGACCGCGTTGCGGCTTGGGGTAGTAGGGTCTAGAGTGCAGGAGCTTGCGCAGCATCCAAAGAACAAAAGAAAACAGTCAGTGGACCGGAGATAGATTCAAAGTAGTATCCCTCCCCAAGCAGAACAACCCCTGACTCTCGAAACCATGAGCAATTCACTTCCCAGACTTGGGTATGGGCATCCATACCACTTCCGGTTTGGGTGCGTGCAGTTACCCTTACTAGCGGCCACACTCGTGGCGAAGGCTTACACATGGCCTGACCTGGCACGACCTCATCCAGTGCGATCAGCACTAGTCCGACCTTGCGGCGCTTCCCCATCTTTTCGGCAAGGTCAGTGAAACTTGAAACATGTAAGTCAGTGGAAGGCTCAGAAATCGATGCCCTGCACCTGGACGAATTCTTCGGGGGACCTTGGAGCACGCTTTCTTAGTACAGGAAGAGCGCTGAGAGCGAAGGTTAGCTTGGGAGCCCGCGGTGTGTCCAACCAATACGGGGTGACCGGGATCAACTCAGGCATCTCCGGATCCGTCGCGGAGTCATCGTCCCGTTTAGGAGGCTCCACCATTCTGCAACACCTCACCATCTTTCTCACACGGAGTCCCTTGTAGTGCCACGGGGCCAAAGCCGTTTGCACCTCGTGCAAGGTCATGGAGTTTCCAACAAGGCCCTAATCCCTGAACGAGCTGAAGAGGGAACCTGCTCACCACATGGAATAGCTGCGAAAACCGAGGAGCATATGGCTCGATCCTGATTTTCTCCTTTGGCGCTGGAGGGGCATGCTGAGCACGGCGGGTCATCTTGACACACCTGCATACTATAATGCACCCCAAGCTGCCGATGTACTAAGACATGGTATACCCCAAACCCCATGCTCGTGACTCAGAGAACTCGGAACTGTACTGGTGCTGGCGAAGGTACATCGAGAGCATGCTCATCGTCGTCTCGCGTGCCGGCTCGTCGTGGATGTCGAAACCCATTCCTCGGCCCCACACCCTGCCAAGAAAAGCACTACCAGGACAAGCCCGGAGAAAGAGGGAGAGAGAGACAGAGAGAGGAAGAGAGACAGAGAGAGACAGAGAGAGGCAGGGCGAGAGAGAGAGAGAGAGGGAGGGAGGGAGGGAGGAAGAGAGGAAGAGAGATAGCGAGAGAGATAGAGAGAGAGGGAGGGAGGGAGGGAGAGAGGGAGGGAGAGGGAGGGAGACCTACAAGAGGACGACTGGATCCGAACGAAGCTTCCCTTGTTCTCAAGATCCGCCCTTAACCCTTTAAACACCAACACCCTCATCTCTAATAACCAAAACGTAAGCCCCAGTAACTAAACCTTAACAACCCTAAACGCTAAGCCCGAATAAACACTAACAAAAGTAGGCGCTAAACACTAAACCCTGAAAGCTAAACCCTAAACCACAAGTCGTGGCGGCCCGAGCATCGGAAGAAGATCTGCTGCGCTTTCGAATTCACGTACAGAACACGTGCGGCCACGGATTCGAAATCCCATCCCGCACTCAATGCCTCGACGGGCAGTGCCCGTAGGGCTCCAAGATCGTAACATGTCACACGTGTCGTTGGAGTCTCCCGGCACGTCGGAAGCAAAGTTGAGTACCCCAAGCATTACATTATATGCCTGTTACTAGGCCCCTGATCCTAAGGGTTTGGAAGAGGGTCCAGGTCGGGCTTCATGTTTCATCCGGTTTTTTGTGGAACTTCTTGTTGACACTCGGGCCAATCACAAGAGCAATGATGAAGACTGGCGAGCAAAGGATTACCGGATGCTTGCAACTCATGACGCCAGGAGGATGATTATGAGGACAGACCCCATCAGAATGCTCAAGATGCTGACGGCGGCGACAAGGAATGCGGCTGCTACTATTGATATGGATACCTGACACTGGCACCGAGGCTTGCTACTGCTACTGCTGCTACTGCTACCACTTCTACTCCTGCTCCTGCTACTAGCTACTACTACTACTACTACTACTACTACTACTACTACTACTACTACTACTACTACTACTACTACTACTACTACTACTACTAAACCCGGCCTGAGCTTCGGCAGCCTGGATCAACAGGGTTCCCACACCTTTGCCCTGATGATCATTGTGCACCTCGCCGGGCGTCGGAGGCAGCTATATAGGGGCATTTTATGAAAGATGGCTTGGCTGTATACTATACAGGCAACCCTCAAGAACCTTGAACTTGGAGACTTGGGTGTTGATTCTACTATACTTGAAATAGAGGAACTCTCAGGAGCCATAGGAGTGGAGGATTGCCCCCAAACAGCGCTCACATGGTCGGCCCTAAACCCTAACCCTTGCGCCATAAGCCCCAAACCCCGAACCCCACCAGCCCTGAGCCCTGAACCCTAAGCCTTAAGCGCTAAACCCTATATCCGAAGCCCAAAAGCCCTCAACCCCGAACCCTAAACTCCCTGTGCCATCCGACAGTCGCTCGTCTCTTGAAACGAAGCTCAAGATCGGGGTTTACGGTTTGAAGTTTCAGGGTTTAGAGTTTGAGGGCCTCAGGGCTTAGTGCTTAGGTTTGAGGGTTCAGGGTTCAGGGTTTAGGGTTTAGGGTTTAGGTTTGAGGGTTCAGGGTAGAAAGCCCCTCCCGCGCAGTTTGGCTGATCTTCATAAGACTTGCCATGGGCCTGATACGTGAGCTTGGGGCTCATGGGGGACCCCAGGAGCAATCCTACTACTCTCACAAACCCGAACTTTAAACTCCCTTATAGAACACGTTGAAGGAACCTTGTTCCAATAATCCCACACACTAAACCTCAAACCTAAAACCAGTCTGAAACACCACATGCGCGACGTCGCCTTGAGGTGGCCAATCACAAGCTCTTTCTCGCCCTTGTCGGCGTGGACGAAGCCTACGACGTGCCCGGTCTTTTTGTCCCGAGCAACCTCAAGGTTTGGCGTGTAGGGTCTAGGGTTTGGGGTTTAGGGGCTTTAGCCGAGACACCAGCACCAGCGAGCCGACCTTCCCTCGATTGGCGACAATGAAGGAATACTCCGTAAAGAACGCGCCATCTTTTTCAAAGGCCCCCAAGGCCAAGCAAAAGTCGGCAGCCCTGCACGCCCGGACAAATAGCTTCTTCTTAAAGAGGTCGGCTTGCTCGGCCACGAGTGTCTTTTCGAGGCCTCGGACCTCTTCGAGGGCGTCGGTGGTCACGAGCGTGACCTTCTGGCGGAGTTTACTTTACGTGGCCATAATACAGGGAAGGATAGCAAATATGGCTTTCCCTAGTATGGACGGCAACTTAAAGTAAATTCCGTAACAAGAACCCAGCCTTGTGAGTGAAGCTTTCAGCGATGACTTCCGGCTTGCATTTCAGCTTCTCCCGTGCCAGTTGGGTCCTCCAATTCCTTGGGAACTTCGCAGGTCTTGCTGCCCATTCCTGAAGTGCTCGAGGTCCTTCCGCAGCTGATGTTTGCTCCTGAGCCTCCTCCATCTGCTCCTCATCCGGCCTCTTGCCTGGGTTCTGGATAGGGACTGAAATAAAAATCCCACAATAAGGAGACCATATTATTTACTGATACTGTAGATACTGTAGATCGCTATTATGGCGGCTCAAACAAAATTCCTTTACCCGAAACCCTGCCAATAGGCCCTATAAAAGAACCTTGAAAGGAAGCCCTTTAACAAGTGCCCAGCGTCGCTTCTTTGAGTCTGCCGGCTGTGGCTGCGAAGACGGGGCCTTCAATGGCTCGGCCCACTCCTTCATCCGGGCCTGAACAGGGGCCTCAACAAGCAGAATAGGGCTTTGGGGGTTTAGGGTTTGGGGTTTAGGGTTTAGGGCTGGGTTTAGGGGTCAGGGTTTGGGGCGTAGGGCTTGGGTTGGGTGTAGGGCGTGGGGCTGGACTTAGGGTTTGGGGTGCACTAAAGCCTTGAGAAGTACAATGTGGTTTTTGTACAAGGACTACAAGCGGACATCATCAGTGACGACAGAGGTACTATGAAGGGGGCATTGTATATAGTTAGTACCAGCGGGGACTATATACCCTAAACCCTAAAATCCTAAATCCTAAACCCTAAACCCTGTAGGCCCCTTACTAACTCTTCCGACCCCTTTTCTCGCCTGCAGCTCGCGAGCCACCTCAACCGGTGCGAGGCTTTCTGGGGACTGGAAGCCCTTGTTGTTGACTCCGAGCGACGCACCCTGCCTGAGGAGGTATATGACCTGGATTTGGGGAATTTAGGATTTTCGGTTCAAGGCAAACTGACATATCAATAAGTAAGTCTATAGAACCACAAGGGGCATCAACAGGTTTCAGAAAATGCCACCCAGTGACCGTCTCGGTCTTTTTCGCTTCCATCGCGTAAAACATGGGGGTCTCGCCCCACTTGTCTGCCTGATGGACGCTCATGCCCAACTTCTCGACGAAGTATGCACACAGCCTCAGCTACACTTCATGACTTGAAGTACACGGATCCAAACCTTCTGCGCGCGCAAACTTTCAGGATTAAAGTAGGTTCCGGCTCATAATCCCGACAATATCTCCAACTATGCCTTGAAGCCGTGCGAAGCCCCTTCCACACTCTACCCCAAAGACGCATCCCAGTCGCTCTTTGTGTCCTTGTCTAGCTGCGTAGAACCTGATCGGCAAGTTCACGTCGAACCGAACTTTACGGAATAGACCATTGCCCTGACTGGTGCTATTGTTAGTCTTGCTCTTGCTGGTAGTGCTTTTGCGGTCCCTATGATGATGATCACGACTATTGCAGCGGCAGTGCAACTCTCGCTTCTGTTGCCTGCTGCCATGACAGCCGTCTGGTGCAGAGGCTGGCAGTTTTGGGGTTAGGACCTCTCTAGGGAGTTGTTTTGGTCCTGATGCACATTCCCTGTCACTGGGGCTTTGCAAGGCTCTCAAACCTCGGGCCTTTATGCCTCGAGCCTCGGGGCTTGAAAACTTAAACACACAAATGATAACTTGAGACAACAAATGACAAGACAAGGAAAGCGAAGAAACGCTTGCACAAAAGATGCCATGCAAAAGACACTCAAACAGAAAACATACACTTAACATTGAAAAGACATTCAAACAACATTAACATGGTTTTGCAAGCATCGAAAGCGTTCAAATCAATTCTACGAGGCCTGAAACATCCAAAACGACTGCGAAAGAATTTCAAAGATTGGCAAGGCGTTCACTGTTTTCGGTGAGGGGGGGGGGCAGTCTGCCCCCCTTGAGTCCTATTGGGGGTGCGAGGAGGGTAAGCCCTCGATCGGGGGGCAGTGTGGAGCCCTGCGGAAGCGCGGCGATTGTTTGAGTTTTGAAAGGCCTTCCATAAGGATTCATGAGGCTCACAATAACTTTTCCAAGACTTCAACAAGGATTCATCAGATTCTACAAGATGCATCAGTAAGATGTGCTAAGGCTTTTATTGGCCCTGTTTGCCAGACATGTGTGGCTTAAAGCCCTGCTACGTTTTCAAGGCCCGTAGTTCTGGGGCCCTAGTTAACCTCGGATTGGGTTTTATGTTGTGGGGCTTCGGGCTGTGGGCGGGGCTGAGGCCGGTGAGGATTGGGAGTAGGGTAAGGCCGATTGGGGCTGTGAGGCAAGATCACGAAGTCGCATGCGAGCAATAATGGGATAAAAGAGCTAGTAAGGACAAGTCATAAAGGCAGAGAGGACCACGAACACCAAAATGAAGAAAGAAGACACATGGAGACAAAGAAAGAGAAATCAAGATAACTGAGGACAAAGTTTGATTTGACAAAAAGGTGGCTAGATAAGATTCAATAATTTGGTGCTTTGTAGGATTTTGGAGCTGAAAGCCCAAAGGGTTAAAGGGCCGAGGTGTGAGAGGAGCGCACATTGACGATCCTAGCCGAAAGCGACCACTAAGATCAAGGGCCTCGAACCACTGTACTGTACGACAACAACCTCAGGGGAGATCAGTGTAGCACACGATTCGTAGAAGCCCCCGACCCAGTCTGTCCTTTTGGGACCACGAGACATCGGCATAGAAAGTATGAACATGAATACCTTACATGGGGTTACAGTGACTAAGTCCCATGATGGCTTCAACCACAGGAAACCTGAACCCAAGTGCCACACAGCCGAGCAACAGAGGGCTTTGGCCCCAGTCATCCCTCTTTGTTGCCGGCACGCGCACTCGTCTGGGCTGCTGAGGGTTTAGGTTTTAGCCCAGAGACTCCAACCCCCACATTAAGGACTACCTTAATTACAGGGGGATCCCTAGCATAATTCAAGGTACATTTCTTAATCCAAGGGGTTTGGGAGTCTATGGGACGGGCTCCAATACAGGCTCTGGTAGGGGCCTTACTATGCATAGCAGGCTTTCGTGGTAGGTGCAGTGTAAGGAATCATGTTGGCAATTATTCCAACGCTACAGATGGATGGATGGATGGATAGCGGCCGGGGTGTGACAGCCATGGGTAAGGCGTCATCCCTCCCGCCTTCGCAGCCCCTCCGCAAGCGTCATCGGGGCTCCAGTTGGAGTTCACGTTCCCACCGCCCCAGAGAAAGGCATCCAGCAAGGCAGTTCAAGCGGACCCGGCCTCACCACGACCCGCGTCCCCTCTCCGAAGAGGTATTATCTGCTCCAAGGCAGGGGTATGTTCAGCAAGACGACCCACGTCGTCGTGGGGCCTGCTATCCCAACCATAGACTGGACTGCCCCCACCTGGTCGTCGGAATCACCCGACCCCCATACGCTATCCTTCACATTCACCCTCACATGGGTCAAGGCCAGGGGCACACAATGGTGCCGGCCAACACCCGTAGTGACCAAATCCCTATAGTATCGGCCGGAAGGACTGGTCCAAGCGGGAAGACTTTCCTGCTGGGCCGTGGGAACGGCCGATTCCAACCCTACAGAGCTAAGGCTAAGATGTGCACGAGCTCGGCGGTGCTTCTTACTGATGTCACCGTGAGGACAGACCCCAACTGCACTTTCAAGAGGGCTTTTCCCGAACAACTCGGATGAACCGTTCATGCAGCATGCTCCCGGACCCCATCGCTCAACCCGTCAGCACCAGGCCTCATCAGGAATCGACACATCTTCTCGGCTTCGATTGGATCCTGTGCAGCGACCCTTCAAAAAGCTTGCTTTGGGCTGCAAGACAAAGCCTCTTTGCCGGTATCGGTAGGCGCCGTTTTTCGCTACGTCCCCAGCCTGTCGTGGCCTTGGCACCCCTCATCACACTTCCCAGCCCCACCCTTTGGTGCTACTGTTATCCCGCATGCCTCTGCAGCACCGTAAAACCCTGCTAACACATCCAGCTCATTGTGGCGATGGTACCTGCATCCAAATCCGACAGTAACCGCTGGTCTAAAAGGTTCTTGGGCCCAGGTGGTCCAGTTCACGCTGCCAAGGCCTGAAACATCCGTGATGACCCCGGCAATCGCGACTACTAGCCGATGATTCTGCTGAATTTCTTGCTCAACCTTCAGAAGCATCCCGCCGCCGACATCACATCAAAGCCGGCCTGCCGTGCAGCGGCAAAGTACAGCGCCGTCTGCCCACGCCTTGCAGCACGAAGAGTGTGCAAGAAACAGCTAGAACATAATGAAGGAGCATTTCCAAAAGGGGCACCGATGGCACGTCATAACCGAATGCATCCTAGGCCTTGCTACAAGACCAAGTCGCGACTTCCACTTTGGGTCGACCTGCGCGGCGGCGACCCAGGCTTCCTCCTCGCAGCACCGCAATCCACTCTGCAGACGACCGAAAAGAAGGGAAATTGAGTGATGCTCGTCTATATGAAAAGAGGTAAAGAAAAAGATCGCCCTTTGCAAGGTGATGTAAGCAGTGAACTTAGTGACAAACAAGACCTAGCTGGAAATGATGATGACGAACAGAATGTTGAATCAGAATTTGATGATGAAGATGATGAAAAAGATGCCAATGACGATGATCATGATGATGATCAGCATCATGACGGAAATATCGATGAGCATGATGTTAAAAATCACGATGACGATGGTGACCGTGAGTGGCGTGTTCGTGTTGGTTTTGATGTTGGTGTTCGCACTGGTGTTGTGGAGTGAGGGTGGGGGCTGGGTGGTGGCGGTTGTGGTGCGACGTCGATGATAGTGTCCGTGCATGGTGGTGGCGGCACATGTTCTGAATAGCCCTGTCGGGCCTGGCAATAGTTAGAAAGCTTATTTTTTGCAGTCAACGTTGCCAGCACTATTCGCATTCCAAAATTTGTGCTAATGGCTTTCGCTTTGTCACGGTGGTCCTGTTCTCTTTTGTGTGGAGGCTGGGACCTCCGGTGCTCTCTTACTATTTACTGATGTGATAAAGGCTCAGACACCGCTGTTCGTCGGTATTGCAGGTCAACTGCGGCCTGTGATTTCGGCCGTAGGCCCTAGGCTGCAACTCATTAGAGTAAACAGAAATATCGTTGCCAATATTTGCATGGCTAGCGCCACGGCCGCTGTTTCTTCCCGAGATTGCCCCAGACTCTTCCTGTTTCAAGAGTTGTGCGTCTGTGGCTTAGACCAAGACCTGAACTGGTTTGTTGTTGTTCACGTCGTTGATGAGTCCAAACAGAAAGGTGTCTGCATGAGACCTGTCAAGTACGGATTCAAGACTTGCACTGCAAGTTAAAACGGTTCAATTCCTCAGCGTCGTGAAAGACATTGCGAATCCCCAGGCACTGTGCCCCAGCCGCACTTCCCAGCTCCTGTGTTGCATCACGGATCTTGAGGAGCAGCCGGACGTCCTGACAGTCCCCGAAACCCTGAACCCTACAGCCTAAATCATAGGCTTCAAGGATCTAAACTCTCGACTGTAGCCCCTGCTACTTTGCAAGTCTGCCTGCTTTTCGCACACAACACTCTAATATAGGGGCACTAGCATTTGGAGCAGGATACTTGCTATGAAGCATTCACACTCCTAAACCCCTGAAGCCTACACCCCTGAGCACCTAAACCCTAAACCCCTCAACCCTTAACCCCTCAACCCCTAAACCCCAAAAAAGAGGCGAGGCAAAAGTCCCACCAAGGAATCGGCTCCTGGAGATTCGTTCCGCCCTTCCTTGCGGCCACGAGCCAGGCAGCAGGGGCCTTCTTCGTCTTCCGAGTCGCCATGACCAGGTTTCAGGGTAGTTAGTGATTAGAACAGAGTTTGGGGGAGGAAAAGTACACTCTTCGCACAAATCTGAACAACAGATGATGCGGAAGCTGCTGCCTCTCCGGCTGTGCATTGCAAAGCCTTTAAGCATGCTTTCAAACGGTTCTGGCTTGCTTGAGCTGCCCAGCGGCTGCGGGCACGGAAGATGCAGGCAGAGGCAGCAGGACTACATTTCCGGCTTTCGACGAGTACCTCGGCTCACCCACTCCAGGCAGTGTCGTTTTGCTTTACTTGCGCGCCTGGTCTTCTTGAGGGGACAAAGGAGACCCAATCATCTGGACAAATTCTTCAGGAGACCTTGGAGCACAATTTATTAGTACAGGAAGAGCAGCGGCAGCAAAGAACATCTTGGGAGCCCGCGGTGACTCCAACCAATACATATGGCGTGACTGTGATCAAAGGAGGCATCTCCGGATCCGTCGCGAGCAGCTTCTGACCATTCTGGTCACCGGCAGCCCTTTAAGTGCCACGGCGCGAAAGTCGTTTGCACCTCGTGCTGCGCCCATGAGCCCTCAGCCTTGAACCCTAAGCCTTCAAAGCCCTTTATCCCCCCTATATTTATATCCGAAGCCCAAAACCCATCCTCATTCTAATTGAGCCTAAATCCAAAACCTCAAACCCGAAACCCCAAACCCTGATAGCCAAAGCCCAAAAAACTACGAGAGGAGTCGCCTTGAGGAGGTGGCCAATCACCAGCTCTTTCTCGCGATTGTCTGCGTGAGACGACGTGGAAGCTCTTCGTCCGGTCGTGCAGGGCGGCAGGCTTCTGCTTGGCCTTGGGCACGTACGAGAAAGACAGCCAATGTTTTAGCGAGTATTCGTACATTGACAAAACGACCGGGCGCACCGTAGGCTTCGTCCACGCCGAAAAGGGCAAAAAAGAGCTGCTGATTGGCCACCTCAAGGCGACGTCGCTCATGGGGTGTTTCAAAGCCCGGGACCCTGAGCCATAAGAGTCAAACCCTGAACCCCCTAAGCCCTAAATCCGAAGCCCAAACCCCTCTAAGCCCCAGACCCTAACTTCAAACTCTCTTATAGGACCCTTCGTAGGATCATTATTCTAATCCGAAAAGCCAAACCCCAAAACCTGAAACCCGAAACCCCAAGCCCTGATACCCGAAGCCCAAAATCTGAAACACCCCATGAGCGACGTCGCCTTGAGGTGGCCAATCAGCAGGCCCTTTTCGGCGTGGACGAAGCCTACGGTGCGCCCGGTCGTTTTGTCCCGAGCCACCTCAAGGTTTGGCGTGTGTACGGTCCAGGGTTTAGGGTTTAGGCCCTAAACCCCTAAACTTGAGGGATCGGCCAAGGGTTTAGGGTTAGGGATTAGCCAAGCCGCCAGCACGAGAGAGCCAACTTTGCCGCGATTGGCGACAATGTGAGAGTATTCAGCAAAAAACTGGCCATCCTTCTCATAGGCTCCCAGTGCTAAGCAGAAGTCGGCCGCCCTGCACGACCGGACAAAGAGCTTCTTCTTGAAGAGGCCGGCCTGGTCGGCCACGAGCGTCTCTTCCAGGCCTCGGACCTCCTCCAGGGCGTCGGTGGTGACCAGCGTCGCCTTCCGGGCTCTTGTTACGGAACTGACTTTAAGTGACCACAATCAAGGGATCGATAGCAAATATGAGCACTTTCCCTAGTATGGTCGGTAACTTAAACTAAATTCCCTAGCAAGAACCCAGCCTTGTGGGCAAAATTGTCCGCCTCTGAACCTCTCTCTTCGTCGTTGCAACAGAGCTGGCAGAACCCCGTTGGTATGCGGCCCGACGTGCCAACTGGGACTTCCAGCTCTTTTGCAACTTCGCGGGTTTTGCTGCCCATTCCTGCCGTGTGCGGGGTCCCTCTGTGGCAGGATACTTGTATTACGGCACTGGCACTTCCCAGCTCCTGCCACTTGTATTTAGGAGTAGTGGAGCATCCTGTTGAGAGAAGTGGGACACAGCCTTCAAGGCTCGAAACTCTTGACTGTGGCCCATGCTACTTTGCAAATCCGCCCCGCTTTACTTTAAAGCAAGCCTCGCAAGCCCGAGCACAGCTCAGTTCTAAGATATGTGCCTTAACATTTAGAACAGGATACTGGTATTAAGGAACCCTACGGAATGCGGTTATCAAGCATTCGCACCAACACAGCTAAAGTAAGCAAGACCATGCACATGTCTAGCGAACCGGATCCTGACGGGAGGTGCCACCCTTCCTTGCGGGCACAAGCCAGGCAGGAGGGGTCTTCTTCGTCTTCCTGGTCGCCACATCGCCATGAGGCCACTCCGGAGCTACTCGTCGAAGTTTAGGGCTGAGGGTTTAGAAATGATTCCTCACCGATTAGAACACCGTTCGGGGTGAGATTTCACAAGGAACAGGATTAGTATAGTTATCTAGGCACTTATAGCAGGTTTTGGGTTTAAGGTAGTGAGGCAATTGGCGTACAAATCTGAACAACCGATTGGGTAGCTGCTGCTTCTACGGCTGTGTAATGCGAGGGACTGCAGAAACGCTAAACCCCAAACCTCTCCCCCAAACTGGAAGGCCCTAAAGCATGCTTTCAAACGGTTCTGGCTTGCATGGGCTGCATGCAGCGGCTACAAACGCGGAAGATGCAAGCAGAGGCAAAAGGACTAGGTTCGACAAATCTGGGTAATTGGGGGCCTGAATAGGCAGAAATACGATCCACAATCCTGCATTTAGTTGATTAATTATGTAGGGGGGCGGACTAATTGCAGATCATATCCCTTCATGGTCCCCATCTTGTGATACGAAAATTGACCCCAAAACCCTTTTCTAATCATAAATGTCCCTATGCCGGAGAGCCCTCATAGCGCAAGCAAGGAATCCACAAAGGAACTACATTCCAATCAGGAGGGTCCGTAGTTCGCTGAATCCTAAACCCTAAACCCTAAATCCGAAACCCTTGCAACACCCCTTTACCACCCTGAAAGGATCCTCCACCCTTACAGGAATCGTGCATAAAAAAACTCCGAAATTCTAAACCCTGAGCCCTGAAAACCCTGAACCGTAACCCCTAATTGGGCGGCTTCTGTGAATCCCTCACATCGTTCAAAAATGCATGGCGGCACCGCTTTGAGTCTTAGGATCTTCTGCTTATACAAGACTTGGGATCTGAGGATTTTCCAGGGCTTCGGCCTCCGAAACTTAGGGGTACCTCATTTTGGGGTCCTTATACCAAGGATCCTCGTATTTAGGATACTGTATTCGGGTCCCCTATTTTCGGAAACTCCCAGTTCTTGCTCTACTGCTGGTGCTCATTGATTGGGGGTTTTGTGTTTATAGGGCTTTTCTTTGTACGATATGGTACGACGTCCTGTTCTGCTCTTGGTCACTAAGAGGTGACAGTTCTCGTTCCCCTGACAAGCATGGTTCAAGACAGTCCCTTGGCTTCACCTCAGTGGTCCACACTCGCGACGAAGGCTTACAAAAAATTGAACCTGCCTGACCTGGCACGACCTCACCCAGTGCCTTCAGCACTAGTCCGAACTGGCGGCGCTTCCCCATCTTTTCGGCAAGGTCTGTGAAACTTGAAACTTCCAAGTCGGTGGAAGGCTCAAAAGTCGATGCCCTGCACCTGGACGAATTCTTCAGGAGACCTTGGAGCACAATTTCTTAGTACAGGAAGAGCGCTGAGAGCGAAGGACAGCTTGGGAGCCCGCGGTGTGTCCAACCAATACTGGGTGTCCGGGATCAACTCAGGCATCCCCGGATCCGTCGCAGAATCATCGTCGTTTTGGGGGCTCAACCATGCGGCACATGTAGTCCCTTGTAGTGCCATGGCGCCAAAGCCGTTTGCACCTCGTGCTGCAAGGTCATGGAGTTTCCAACAAGGCCCTAGGCCCTAAACGAGCTGAAGAGGGAACCTGCTCACCACATGGAATAGCTGCGAAAACCGAGGGGCATATGGCTCGATCCTGATCTTCTCCTTTGGCGCGTGAGGGGCATGCTGAGCACGGCGGGTCATCTTGATGCACCCGCATACTATAAAGTTCCCCAAGCTGCCTATGTACTAAGACTATAATATACCCCAAACCCCATGCTCGTGACTCAGAGAACTCGGAACTGTACTGGTGCTGGCGAAGGTACATCGAGAGCATGCTCATCGTCGTCTCGGGTGCCGGCTCGTCGAAGATGTCGAAACCCATTCCTCGGCTCCACAAGCTGCCAAGGAAAGCACGGCCAGGACAAGCCCAGCAACAAGCTGCAGAAGAGCACAGAAAGCACAACCGGTACAGTATAACTTGAGAGAGAGAGAGAGAGAGAGAGAGAGAGAGAGAGAGAGAGAGAGAGAGAGAGAGAGAGACAGAGAGAGGCAGAGAGAGGCAGAGAGAGGCAGAGAGAGGCAGAGAGAGGCAGAGAGAGGCAGAGAGAGGCAGAGAGAGGCAGAGAGAGGCAGAGAGAGGCAGAGAGAGGGAGAGAGAGAGGCAGAGAGAGGCAGAGAGAGGCAGAGAGAGGCAGAGAGAGGGAGAGAGAGAGATCAGAGAGAGAGAGAGAGAGAGAGAGCGAGGGAGGGAGGGAGGGAGGGAGGGAGAACTACAAGAGGCAGGATCCGAACGAAGTTTTTCCTTGTCTGAAGATCAGCCCTGAACCCTAAAAACTAAACCCTAAACCGTAATAACTAAACCGTAAAACCTGATGACTAAACCCGAATAAACCCTAAGAGCTGAGCCCGAAATGCGAACCGCTAAACCCGAAACCCTAATTAAACCCCTCAAGTCGTGGCGGCCCGAGCATCGGAAAAATATTTCGACTCCGTGGCCGTGCGTGTCCTGTACGTGAGTTCACGTACAGGACACGCACGGCCACGGAGTCGAAAGCCCATCCTGCGCTCAACGCCTCCACGGGCAGGCAGGGCTTCAAGATCATAACATGTCTAACGTGAAGTCTCCCGGGACTTCGGAAGCAAAGTTGAGTCCCCCAAGTTAAAAGGCCCCGTGATCCTTCCTTTCAGCAGAGGGCTTTGGAAGAGAGTTCAGGTGCCTAACGCTTGCGAGATGTTCACTGCTGCTCATGTCTGGGCTCTTGGGTATGAGCACAAGACTCCGGGCTTCATGTTTGCTTTGTAAACTTCTTGTTGGCCCTCGTGGCAATGACAACCTTAATCATAAGACTACGTCGAATTGGGAGTTTCCGAAAATGAGGGGACCTTATTTGGGGGTCCTGAAAATAAGGATCCTACTGTTTCGGATGCTATATTAGGGTCCCCTATTTTCGGAAACTCCCAATACTAACAAGGAACCTTACGGATGCAACTGTTCAGGCTTGCATATGGGTGGTTGTCAAAATTATGGCCCCCTTTTTCGGTACCCTAAATATTAGGTGCCGTAATATAATAAGGACCCAAAAAGGGACCCTAATTTTGACAACCACTCACATCATGGCATCATGGTTTTCGGGTTTCACAAACAAGACCTCAGGGGACCAGGAAAGTAAAACCCAGCGCCAACTTCTCTTGTTAAGCTTCAGCTCCACGCCAAAGCCCCTACTCAAATGATTAAGGCCCCTAAATTGCACCAATTGGCACCAGAGTTGGATGTACAGACATGTACAGACCCACATGCTTGTATCATGATGAAGGCAACTGCCACTCGACGCAGGAAGCCAGGCCCCGTGCTTTATTGGCGAGGAGATTGCCTTGCTTCAGGGTTTAGGGTTTGGTGTTATGCCACACAGTAAGCCACGTCACACGCTCCGCACAAAAAAATCAGACAACAATATTTGAGTATGGGCGTCTAGGATTTTGGCGTTAGGCGGCTGCACACAGATAATTATGGGTGTGGGGAGGGAGTCCGAAGTAGCCAAGACCTCACGGCCTTCGTAAGAGCAGGACGCTTTGCCCATCCGGCGGTGGAGGTGGATGAGCTGCCATGGCTTCTGCAGTGATCCCAGCGAGAGGAGATGTGGCGCAAGTTCCGGGGGCCGTGAACAGCTCTAGGCTCCAAGACCTTAGGGCCTGGTCTCAGATGTCGGCGATGTGCCCCTCAACCCACCATGTTTCACCAACTGAAGCAACCACCCTTTCCCTCAACCCTAATCCCAATACCCTAAACCCTAAACCCCTAAATCCTAAACCCCAATCCCAATACCCTAAACCCTAAAAGAGAAACTTTGAGCATCAGATCTCGAGGCGGGCCGGTGGGGAGCGCGGGATCTCATCACGTCGCACAAGGCCCGCTCACCATGGGAGAGCGTCTTCTGCTACTTAAAGGATCATGGGACTTAGTAAGGGTTCTTAAAGGGCTCCTTAAAGGGATCTATAGGGTTCCTTAAAAGGGATCTATAGGGTTTAGGGTTTAGGGTCTACTTGGGGGTTCATGGGACTTAGTAAGTACAGTTACAAGTACCCTAACTGGGGTTATATCCAATTATAAGTATAGTTAACTTATTTATAACCATAGTTACTAAGTCCCATGAAGCTTTAAGTAGGATGCTCCAAACAGCAACAAATACTTACACTAGTAGTAACATTACTAGGAATACTCAGAAGAGCAATAGCAATAAGAAGGACAATAAGAAGAAACAGAGTAACAGTAGCAGTAATCGTATCGTACTTAACAATTCATAATCAGTAAAAGTAATACTCATGCTAAGACTAATAGCAATAGAGACAGCCATAGTACTAGTGCTAGTAAGAGGTAGTAATGCCAAAGGCAACATGTACCTTTATCGTAAATACGTAAACCATAAAAGGGGTCCCTATATGGGTACTGTGAGGCCAAAGTATATACTACATGGGTACATGGAGCCTTAGGGACCAGTAACAGGGCAAGGCTTCGAAAGCACGCGCCGGAGATGTGCGCAGTTTCATTCACCCCTCCATACTGCTGGTGCTTATTGTTTGCGGGGGTTAGGGTTCATAGGGCTTGGTGCCAGATAGTACGAAGTCGTGTTCTGCCTTGCTCACCAAGAGGTGAGACACTTGTGACGAAGGCTTAAAGAATGTTGAACCTGCCTGACCTGGCAGGACCCCATCCAGCGCAATTAGCAATAGTCCGAACTTGCGGCGCTGTCCCATCTTTTCGGCAAGGTCAGTGAAACTTGAACTTGAAACATCCAAGTCGGCAGAAAATTCAAAAGTCGATGCCCTGCACCTGGACAAATTCTTCAGGAGACCTTGGAGCACAGTATCTTAGTGCAGCAAGAGCACTGCCAGCAAAGAAACAGCTTGGGAGCCCGCGGTGAGTACAACCAATTCGGCGTGACCGGGATCAACTCAGGCATCTCCGGATCCGTCGCGGAGTCATCGTCCCGTTTAGGAGGCTCCACCATGCGGCAGCACCGGATCGTTTTTCTCACGCGCAGCCCCTTGTAGTGCCACGGCGCCAAAGCCGTTTGCACCTCGTGCTGCAAGGTCATGGAGTTTCCAGGGCCCTAAACCCTAAATCCTGAACGAGCTGAAGAGGGAACCTGCTCACCACATCCAATATCTGCTAAAACCGAGGAGCATATGGCTCGATCTTGATCTTCTCCTTTGGCGCTTCAGGGGCATGCTGAGCACGGCGGACCATCTTCACGCACCTGCATACCGTAATGTACCCCAAACCCCTATGTACTAAGATTAAAATATACCCCAAAACAACTATGTACTAAGATTCTAATATACCCCAAAACCCCCTATGTACTAAGATTCTGATATACCCCAAACCCCCATGCTTGTGACTCAGAGAGCTTGCATATGGGATCGTGGCGGCCTTCGGAGCGACCGCAGAGCCCGTCAGGGTTTAGGGTTAGGCTACAAGCCCTTTATAGTAATCCTTCTGGACCCCTGTAAAGGGAACTCCAGAAAGTTGGAATATGGTTTCAGGGTAGGATACCCTATAATTTTCCATAAAAGGTTTAGGATAATCATATTCCAACTTTCTGGCTTTTATTTTAAAGTAATCCTTCTAGACCCCTTTAAAGACGCCTTATTCTAATTATTAAGGCCCCTTTACATTAGCTAATGTAGGAACCTGATTAAGAAACCTCGTGCCCTGAATAAGACTCCTTCTATGAATCCTGCGACCTCCGGGCTATAGGCCCAGGGTTCCTTAATCCGGTTGCTACATTAGGGTCGGAACTGTAATGGTGCTGGCGACGGTACATCGAGAGCATGCTCATTGTCGTCTCGGGTGCCGGCTCGTCGAAGATGTCGAAACCCATTCCTCGGCCCCGCAAGCTGCCAAGGAAAGCACGGCCAGGACAAGCCCAGCAAAAAGCTGCAGAAGAGCGCAGAAAGCACAACCGGTACAGTATAACTTGAGAGAGAGAGAGAGAGACAGAGAGACAGAGAGACAGAGAGACAGAGAGACAGAGAGACAGAGAGACAGAGAGACAGAGAGACAGAGAAACAGACAGAGAGAGAGAGGTAGAGAAGTAGAGAGATAGAGAGATAGAGAGACAGAGAGATAGAGAGAGAGAGAGAGCGAGAGAGAGAGAGACATAAATAAACAAAGAGATGGAGAGATGGAGACATAGAGAGATAGAGAGATAGAGAGAGATGGAAAGACGGAGAGATGGAGAGAGATGGAGAGATGCAGAGATGGAGAGATCGAGAGATAGAGCGCGAGAACCAGAGAGCGACGACAGGATCCGAACGCAGTTTTCCCTTGTTCTCCTGATCAGCCCTCAACCCTTAAACGTAAGCCCTAAACCGTAAAACCTAATAACTAAACCCTATTAAACCCTAAGAACTGAGCCTTAAAGCTAATCGCTAAGCCCGAAACCCTAAAGCTAAACCCTAAAGTCGTGGCGGCCCAAGCATCGGAAAAATTTTTGCTGCGCTGGCGAGTTCACGTGTAGGACACGTACCGCCACGGAGTCGAAAGCCCATCCTGCGGTCAACGCCTCCACGGGCAGGCAGGGCTTCAAGATCATAACATGTCCGACGTGGAGTCTCCCTGGCCCTCGGAAGCAAAGTTGAGTCCCCCAGGCATTATAAGCCTGTTACTACGCCCCATGTGATCCTTTCTTTGAGCAGAGGGCTTTGGAAGAGGGTCCAGGTGCCTAACGCTTGCGAAATGTACACTGCTGCTCATGTCTGGGCTCTTGGGTCTGAGCACAAGGCTCCGGGCTTCATGTGTGTTTTGTAAACTTCTTGTTGGCCCTCGTGGCAATTGCAAGAGCCACGAAAAAGATTGCTTCGCAAAGGATCATCGGATGCTTGAACACCAGGAGGATGATGATTACAAACCCACATCACAATGCTCAAGATGATGACAGCGACAACCAGGAATGCGGCTGCTACTATTGATACTGATACTGACACTGGCAGCGATGCGTGCTACTACTTACTACTTGCTACGACTACACCCAAATCAAAATGCTCAACATGATGACAGCGACAACCAGTAATGCGGCTGCTACTATTGATACTGATACTGACACTGGCACCGATGCTTACTACTACTTGCTACTTGCTACGACTACAACTACAACCACAACTACGCTAATTATAACACTAATATTAGCGATACGAATAATCATAATAATAATCACAGTCATCATCGAAATTAAAAATAGTAATCTGCCCCGGCCTGAGCCTCGGCAGCGCGGATCAACAGCGTTCCTACGCCTTTGCCCTGATGGTCATTGTGCACCTCGCCGGGCGCCGGCGGCAGCTAAATGGGCTCCCTTAAGAGAGTCATAGTTACTCCCCTTAGGGTTCCAGTATAGGGGGCCTCATAAATCATGCTTTGGCTGTAAACTATGTTGTACTTGCAATTGAAAAGGAACCCTCAAGAACCCTGAACTTGGGCACTCGCTAAACTAGACTTCGAGTAAGGAACCGTCAGGAACAATGCGAGTGGCTGATTGCTTCCGAACAGCGCTCACGTGGTCGTTCTTAAACCTTGAGCCCTAAGCCGCAAACCCGAAGCCCTGAGCCCGGGACCCCGAGCCATAAGCGTCAAACCCTGAACCCCTAAAGCCATAAACCCTAAATCCGGAGCCCAAAACCCTATAAGCCCCAGACCCTAACTTTAAACTTTCTTCTGGAACCCTTCGTAGGATCATTATTCTAATCCGAAAGCCAAACCCCGAAACCTGAAACCCGAAACCCCAAGCCCTGATACCCGGGCCCGAAGCCCAAAGTCTGAAACACGTCGCCTTGAGGTGGCCAATCAGCAATTCTTTTTTGGCCTTCTCGGCGTGGACGAAGCCTACGATGCGCCCGGTCATTTTGTCCCGAGCCACCTCAAGGTTTGGCGCGTGTACGGTCCAGGGTTTAGGGTTAGGGATTAGCCAAGCCGCCAGCACGAGAGAGCCAACTTTGCCGCGATTCGCGACAATGTGAGAGTATTCAGCAAAAAACTGGCCATCCTTCTCATAGGCTCCCAGTGCTAAGCAGAAGTCGGCCGCCCTGCACGACCGGACGAACAGCTTCTTCTTGAACAGGACAGCCTGGTCCGCCACGAGCGTCTTTTCCAGCAGGCGGACCTCCTCCAGGGCGTCGCTGGTCACCAGTGTCACCTTCTGGGCTCTTGCTAAGAGGGTTACTTCAAGTGTCCATTATACACGGATCGATAGCAAATACGGTCTTCCGTAGCAGGGTCCTAAACCCTGAACTGAAATCCCTAACAAGAACCCAGCCTTGTGTGTAAACGTGTCAGCGATGACTTTTGGCTCTCCTTTGAGCTTCTCCCGAGCCAACTGGGTTTTCCAGTTCCGCGGCAACTTCGCGGGCTTTGCCGCCCATTCCTGCAGCGCACGGGGTCCCTCTGCGGCTGATCCTTGCTCCTCAACCTCCTCCTCATCCGGCCTCTTTCCTGGGTTCTTGTTAGGGTTAGGGAATTAATTTCAATTGCCAGAATAAGAAGATGTTCATTCTAGATGCCTCGCATGGCAACTTAAAATAAACTCCTTAACCGCAGACCCCAAACCCGAGAGTAACCCTTACAGCAACCCTTCAAGGAAGCCTCAAAGGAAACCCTAAGCCCTAAACCCTCCAAGGAAGCCTCCAACAAGAGCCCAGTTTCTCTTCTTTGTGTCTCCCGACCGCTCCGGAGCCTTTGAGGGCTCGGCCCACTCCTTCATCCGGACCTCGCTTCAAGTGGACTATTATTGGTATTCTTATTGTTATTATAACTGTTATTACTAATGTTATTCTTCTTCCTAGTAGTAGTAGTAGTAGTAGTAGTAGTAGTAGTAGCAGCAGCAGCAGCAGCAGTACTACTGCTGCTGCTGCTGCTGCTGCTACTACTACTACTAGTACTACTACTACTACTACTACTACTACTACTACTACTACTACTACTACTACTACTACTACTACTACTACTACTACTACTAGTAGAATTATTATTCTTATTACGATTACTACGATTGTTAGTACTAGCAATCTTGTTTTCTTCTGATTATTATTGTTCTGTTCGTTCTTACCACTATTCTAATTCTTACTGTTACTACTATAGTTACTGTTCGTACTACTTTTGTTATTATGACCAGTACTATTATTTCTATTACTAGTATTTTTATTTCATCCGGACCTGAAAGAGGGGCCTGACTGACTGGAATGGAGTTTGGGGTTTGGGGTTTAGGGCTTGAGGTTTCGGGTTTGGGTTTGGGGTGTGGCTTACGTTCGAGCCCTAATGAGCAGAATGGGGTTTCGAGGTACATACTAAAAGGACTACCCTTACCAACTCTTCCGACTCCTACACCATAAACCCAATATGCTAAACCCCAAACCCTGAACTTCCGACCCCTTTTCTGATTCTTGCCTGCAGCTCGCGAGCCACCTCCACCGGTGCAAGGCTCTCTGGCGACTCGAAGTTGTGGTTGTTCACCCCGAGCGAAGCACCCTTCTTCAGCAGGTATATGACCTGGATGTTGGCAGTTTGGGGTTTCGGGGCTTAAGACTGTATTGAGATGTTTGGGGCTTAGGGTATGTGGGAGTTTGAGGTTTAGGGTTCGGGGTTCAAGCCAAAATGACTCATCAAGAAGTTTTACCACTCGGCACATTAAGAGCCACCAAGTGACCGTCTCGGTCTTCTTGGCTTCCATCGCATAAAACATGGGAGTTTCCCCCCACCTGTCCACTTGATGGACATTCATGCCCAACTTCTCAACGAAGTACGCACACAGCCTCAGCTACGCTTCATGACTCAAAGTACGCAGGTCCACACCTTCTGCATGCATGCGCAAACATTTAGGGTCAAGGAAGTCTCCGCTCATAACACCGACAAAACCTCCAAATATCTCGAAGCCGTATTCCGAGATTGCAGCCGATTCCACACTCTACCCTAAAGGCTCATCCCAGTCGCGCTGTGTGTCCTTGTCTAGCTGCGAAGAACCTGAGCGGCAAGATCATGCCGAGCAGAACTTCATGGATTAGCACAGTGCCCTGGTTGGTGCATTTGCTTTTTGCGCTTGCTGATAAATAATAATGCCGTTAGAGCCCTTATCACGATCACTACTATTGCTACAGTGATTGCAACTCTTGCTTCTGTCATGCGTTATCATTGTTACGACTGTTAGCGGCCGAAGTTTTGGGGTTAGGCTCCCTCTAGGCGGTTGTTTCGGGAACAAAGCGAATCCTTCCTGTTGCACCTCCCTTCCAAACACTAAACCCTAAACCCTATACCCTAAACCCTTTAAAGTCCTCGACTTTGGGGAGGTCAAGCCTCAATTAAGACGACAAGTTAAGACAAGCTTGGACAACACGAAGACAAGCTGAGACAACGCGAGTTACCAGCTATTGGCCAAAAGAAGGAACGTCATGACAAAGCTTGTGCAGAAGATGCCAAGCAAGGAATAAGGGTACTACTGGGCATCCTAGTTTATAAGTTGCAAACTTTTTGAGAACCATGTCAAGAAGGATTTACAAGGGTCCCACGGTTTAGGGTCCTAGGTTGAGGGTTTAGGGTCCTGTGTGACAAACATGACAGGGTCGGAGCCCTACGAGGTTTGAAGGCCCGTAGCTCTGGACCGAGGACAGAAGCTGACTTGACAAAAACATGATCGAATAAGCTTCAATAAGATTTGGGAGCTTCCGAAAATTAGGGGTACCTTATTTGAGGGGTCTTATAAGAAGGATCCGACTGTTTAGGGTACTATATTTGGGTCCCCTATCTTCGGAAACTCCCATTTGGTGTCTTGTAGGATTCTGGAGCTAACAGCTCTGAGGGTTGAAGGCTGGGAGTTTGAGAGCGCCGCATGAACGATCTTACCTGAAGCGACAGGGGCCTCGGAACCACTGTACGCCGTCTGAGAAGAGCCCAGCACATCCCACGACTGGTAAAGAAGCCCCGACGCCGGTGTGTCCGTTTGGGACCGGGAGACGTCGGCATAGTACGTCAGACTACAAGTACCCTGATTGGGGTTAGAGTTACTAAGTCCCATCATGGACAAACGTACCGGAAACCTGAACACAGATGCCACACAGCCGAGCAACAGAGGGCTTTGGCCCCAGTCATCTCTCTTTGTTGCCGGCACGCGCACTCGACTGGGCAGCTGAGGGTTTAGGTTTTTGCCCAGAGACTCCAACCCCTAAAATAAGGAATGCCTTAAGGTACGACGCATCCCGAGCATAATTTATATTTCTTGATTTGAAAGGTTTTGGAGTCTATGGGAGGGGTTCCGATATAGGCTCTTATAGGGGCATTGCTATGTATAACAAGCTGTCGTGGCATGTACATTGTACTATAGGTACACTGAAAGTATCAATCATGTTGGTGACTGCTTCTGGCCTACACGCGTGGCTCGGCTAAGGGGTGTGTACGAGTTCGGGGGTCTCTCTTGCTGATGCCACCGCAAGGACGGCCCCCAAACAGTACTGAGAAGGGGGCTCTTGAAGAACAACTCGGATGAACCATTCATGCAGCATGCTCCCGGAACCCAGCCAACTCCATCGCGCAACCCGTCAGCACAAGGCCTCATCAGGAATCGAGAGATCTTCTCGGCGTCCACTGCGTCCTGCGCTTCGACCCTTCAAGCTGGGCTACTGCTTTCTTGATTCCAGCCTGTCGTGACGTTGGGGCCTCATCACCGCCACCCGCTGTGCCCTTCCAAGATTTTGGTCCTAGTGCTATCCCGAAAGCCTCTGCAGCACTGTCAAGTCCGTCCCAATACATCCAGCTCATCGTGGCGATGATAGCTACATCCAACTCCAAACCACGGGTCTAAAAGATTCTTGGGCGCAGTGGTGGGGGCCCAGGTGGTCCAGTTCACATTGCCAAGACCTCAAGCATCCGTGAGCAATTATGACTAGTAGCGACTTGACTCCGGGCGAAATACATTGCGGCAAGTACATCCATGTACCCAAGTATCCATCCGTGTGACCAAAGTATCCACGGTCAAGCCGGCGATTATGCTGAATTTCTTGCTAAAGCCCTCCTCCCGTGCAGCGGCAAAGTACAGTGCCGTCTGCCCGCGCCTCACAGCACGAGGAGAGGGCAGCGAACACCAGCAAATAAAGGGGCACTTCCAGAAGTGGCACCGTGGCGCGTCATGAACGAATGCATCTTAATATAGGGGCCTTAATGATGACCTATACAATAATTTTGGGGGTTCCTTCATATAAGTGGTATATTGGGCCCCAGGCCCCTACGTTAGGACTTGATACAAAACCGAGGTGCAACTTCCATTTTGGATCCACCTGTGCGGCAGCGACCCAGGCGTCATCCTCGCGGCAACGCAATGCGCGGCGCAAAAAACGACCGAAAAGAAGGGAAAGAACATGGTGCGAGTTTGTATGAACTTGCAGAGATAAAGATTGTACTTTGCAGGGTGGTGCAAGTAGTGAAATGGATTGCAAATCAAACAAAGACAAGGGAAATGATGATGGTGATGGTGATGAAGATGATGGTGGTGGTGGTGGCAGTGGTGTCGGCGAAAGGCGATGGTGAAGGTGTTGTTGCTCTGTTGTGGATGTTGGTGATGAGGAAGCCCATGATGATGAAGAAGAAGGCGGTGATGCCGATTATGAAAATGACGATGAAGTCGGACCATGAGGATGATGATAATGATGATAGTGACGATGATGATGCAGATGATGATGAAGCTGGTGACAATGATGATTAAGATGAAAAGGATGATGGTGATGATGATGATGATGAAGAAGAGGATGATGATGGTGGTAGTGGTGATAGTGATCGTGATAGTGGTGGTGACCTGTAGTGTTGTCTTACCATGTACTCATGTGATGTGATAAAGGCTCAGGAACCGCTGTTCGTATGTATTGCAGCTTAAGCACGGCCGGTGATTTCGGCCGTAGGCTGCAACTCATCAGAGTAAACAGAATTCATCGTTGCCAGTATTTGCACGGCTAGCGCCAGGGAGGCTAATTATTCCCGAGAGTGCCTAAGAACTGTTCCTGTTTCAAGAGTTGTGCGTCTGTGGCTTAGACCAAAGACCTGAAGTGGTTTGTTGTTGTTCATGTCGTTGATGAGCCTAAACAGAAGGTGTCTGCATGAGACCCGAACTCAAGTACGGATTCAAGACTTGCACTGCAAGTTAAAACGGTTCAATTGCTCAGCGTCGCAAAAGACGTTGCGAATCCCTAGCACCGCACTTCCCAGCTCCTGTATTCCATCACGGATCTTGAGGAGCAGCCGGACGTCCTGACAGTCCCCTAAACCCTAAACCCTCAAGCCTCCTAAATCGTAGGCTTCAAGGATCTAAACTCGTGACTGTAGCCCCGGCTACTTTGCAAGTCTGCCTGATCTCTAACATAGAGGCCCTAGGATTCAGAGCAGGATAGTTGTTTCTAAGCCTCCACACTCCTAAACTCCTGAACCCTAAACCCTGAAGACGAGGTAAATCCCAGCAGGGAATCGGATCCTGGAGATTTGTGCCAGCCTTCCTTGCCGCCACGAGCCAGGCAGCAGGTGCCTTCTTCGTCTTCCGGGTCGCCATGACGACGTTTCAGGGAGTCAGTGATTAGAAAAAAGTTCGGAGGGAGAAGTACACTCTTCGCACCAATCTGAACAACAGGAACGGAAGCTGCTGCTTCTCCGGCTGTGTATTGCAATGCCCTTAAGCATGCGACCAAACGGTTCTGGCTTGCTTGAGCTGCCTTCAGCGGCTATGGACACGGAAAATGCAGACAGAGGCAGCAGGACTGCATTTCCGGCTCTCGACGATTCATCGAGCACAGAGGGGTATGTACCTCTGAAAGGGCTCCTTAAAGGGATCTATAGGGTTCCTTAAAAGGGATCTATAGGGTTTAGGGTTTAGGGTCTACTTGGGGGTTCATGGGACTTAGTAAGTACAGTTATAAGTACCCTAACTGGGGTTGTATCCAATTAAAAGTATAGTTAATTTATTTATAACCATAGTTACTAAGTCCCATGAACCTTTAAGTAGGATCCTCCAAACAGCAACAAATACTTGCACTAATAGTCACATTACTAGGAATACTCAGAATAGCAATAGTAATAAGAAGGACAATAAGAAGACAAAGAGTAACAGTAATAGTAATCGTAATGGTACTTAATAATTAACAATCAGTAAAAGTAATACTCATGCTAAGACTAGTAGCAATAGAGACAGCAATAGTACTAGTGCTAGTAATAGATAGTAATCCCAAAGGCTCCATGTGCCTTTATAATGAATACTTAAGCCTTAAAAGGGGGTCCCGATATGGGTACTGTAAGGCCTAAGTATATACTACATGGGCACATGGAGCCTTAGGGAATAGTAACAGGGCAAGGCTTCGAAAGCACGCGCCGGAGCTGTGGGCAGCTTCATTCACCCCTCCGTACTGCTGGTGCTTATTGTGTGGGGGGGTTAGGGTTCATAGGGTTTGGTACCAGATGGTACGAAGTCGTGTTCTGCTCTTGCTCACCAAGAGGTGACACACTTGTGACGAAGGCTGAAAGAATGTTGAAACTGCCTGACCTGATCCAGCGCAATTAGCAATAGTCCGAACTTGCGGCGCTGTCCCATCTTTTCGGCAAGGTCAGTGAAACTTGAAATTGAAACATCCAAGTCGGCAGACAATTCAAAAGTCGATGCCCTGCACCTCAACAAATTCTTCAGGAGACCTTGGAGCACAGTATCTTAGTACAGCAAGAGCACTGCCAGCAAAGAAACAGCTTGGGAGCCCGCGGTGAGTACAACCAATTCGGCGTGACCGGGATCAACTCAGGCATCTCCGGATCCGTCGCAGAGTCATCGTCCCGTTTAGGAGGCTCCACCATGCGGCAGCACCGGATCGTTTTTCTCACGCGCAGCCCCTTGTAGTGCCACGGCGCCAAAGCCGTTTGCACCTCGTGCTGCAAGGTCATGGAGTTTCCAGGGCCCTAAACCCTAAATCCTGAACGAGCTGAAGAGGGAGCCTGCTCACCACATCCAATATCTGCTAAAACCGAGGAGCATATGGCTCGATCTTGATCTTCTCCTTTGGCGCTTCAGGGGCATGCTGAGCACGGCGGACCATCTTCACGCACCTGCATACCGTAATGAACCCCAAACCCCTATGTACTAAGATTAAAATATACCCCAAAACAATTATGTACTAAGATTCTAATATACCCCAAACCCCCTATGTACTAAGATTCTGATATACCCCAAACCCCCATGCTTGTGACTCAGAGAGCTTGCATATGGGATCGTGGCGGCCTTCGGAGGGAACGCAGAGCCCGTCAGGGTTTAGGGTTAGGCTACAAGCCCTTTATAGGGAACTCCAGAAAGTTGGAATATGGTTTCAGGGTAGGATACCCTATAATTTACCATAAAGGGCTTTAGGATAATCATATTCCAACTTTCTGGCTTTTACTTTATAGTAATCCTTCTAGACCCCTTTAAAGACGCCCCATTCTAGTTATTAAGGCCCCTTTACATTAGCTAATGTAGGAACCTGATTAAGAAACCTCGTGCCCTGAATAAGGCTCCTTCTATGAATCCTGCGACCTCGGGGCTAGAGGCCCAGGGTTCCTTAATCAGGTTCCTACATTAGGGTCAGAACTGTAATGGTGCTGGCGAAGGTACATCGAGAGCATGCTCATTGTCGTCTCGGGTGCCGGCTCGTCGAAGATGTCGAAACCCATTCCTCGGCCCCGCAAGCTGCCAAGGAAAGCACGGCCAGGACAAGCCCAGCAATAAGCTGCAGAAGAGCGCAGAAAGCACAACCGGTACAGTATAACTTGAGAGAGAGAGAGAGAGACAGAGAGAGAGAGAGAGAAGTAGAGAGATAGAGAGATAGAGAGATAGAGAGAGAGAGAGAGAGAGAGAGAGAGAGCGAGAGAGAGAGAGAGAGAGACATAAACAAAGAGATGGAGAGATGGAGACATAGAGAGATAGAGAGATAGAGAGAGATGGAAAGACGGAGAGATGGAGAGAGATGGAGAGATGGAGAGATGGAGAGATGGAGAGATAGAGAGATAGAGAGATAGACAGAGAGAACCAGAGAGCGACGACAGGATCCGAACGCAGTTTTCCCTTGTTCTCCTGATCAGCCCTCGACCCTTAAACGTAAGCCCTAAACCGTAAAACCTAATAACTAAACCCTAATAAACCCTAAGAACTGAGCCTTAAAGCTAATCGCTAAGCCCGAACCCTAAAGCTAAACCCTAAAGTCGTGGCGGCCCAAGCATCGGAAAAATTTATGCTGCGCTGGCGAGTTCACGTATAGGACACGTACCGCCACGGAGTCGAAAGCCCATCCTGCGGTCAACGCCTCCACGGGCAGGCAGGGCTTCAAGATCATAACATGTCCGACGTGGAGTCTCCCTGGCCCTCGGAAGCAAAGTTGAGTCCCCCAGGCATTATAAGCCTGTTACTACGCCCCATGTGATCCTTTCTTTGAGCAGAGGGCTTTGGAAGAGGGTCCAGGTGCCTGACGCTTGCGAAATGTACACTGCTGCTCATGTCTGGGCTCTTGGGTCTGAGCACAAGGCTCCGGGCTTCATGTGTGTTTTGTAAACTTCTTGTTGGCCCTCGTGGCAATTGCAAGAGCCACGAAAAAGATTGCTTCGCAAAGGATCATCGGATGCTTGAACACCAGGAGGATGATGATTACAAACCCACATCACAATGCTCAAGATGATGACAGCGACAACCAGGAATGCGGCTGCTACTATTGATACTGATACTGACACTGGCAGCGATGCGTACTACTACTTACTACTTGCTACGACTACACCCAAATCAAAATGCTCAACATGATGACAGCGACAACCGGTAATGCGGCTGCTACTATTGATACTGATACTGACACTGGCACCGATGCTTACTACTACTTGCTACTTGCTACGACTACAACTACAACCACAACTACGCTAATTATAACACTAATATTAGCGATACGAATAATCATAATAATAATCACAGTCATCATCGAAATTAAAAATAGTAATCTGCCCCGGCCTGAGCCTCGGCAGCGCGGATCAACAGCGTTCCTACGCCTTTGCCCTGATGGTCATTGTGCACCTCGCCGGGCGCCGGCGGCAGCTAAATGGGCTCCCTTAAGAGAGTCATAGTTACTCCCCTTAGGGTTCCTGTATAGGGGGCCTCATAAATCATGCTTTGGCTGTAAACTATGTTGTACTTGCAATTGAAAAGGAACCCTCAAGAACCCTGAACTTGGGCACTCGCTAAACTAGACTTCGAGTAAGGAACCGTCAGGAACAATGCGAGTGGCTGATTGCTTCCGAACAGCGCTCACGTGGTCGTTCTTAAACCTTGAGCCCTAAGCCGCAAACCCGAAGCCCTGAGCCCGGGACCCCGAGCCATAAGCGTCAAACCCTGAACCCCTAAAGCCATAAACCCTAAATCCGGAGCCCAAAACCCTATAAGCCCCAGACCCTAACTTTAAACTTTCTTCTGGAACCCTTCGTAGGATCATTATTCTAATCCGAAAGCCAAACCCCGAAACCTGAAACCCGAAACCCCAAGCCCTGATACCCGGGCCCGAAGCCCAAAGTCTGAAACACGTCGCCTTGAGGTGGCCAATCAGCAGCTCTTTTCTGCCCTTTTCGGCATGGACGAAGCCTACGGTGCGCCCGGTCGTTTTGTCCCGAGCCACCTCAAGGTTTGGCGTGTGTACGGTCCAGGGTTTAGGGTTTAGGCCCTAAACCCTACACTTGAGGGATCAGCCAAGCCACCAGCACGAGTGAGCCTTCCTTTCCACGGTTGGCGACGATGTGCGAATACTCTGCGAAAAATTGTCCATCTTTCTCGTACGCGCCCAGTGCTAAGCAGAAGTCGGCCGCCCTGCACGACCGGACGAACAGCTTCCTCTTGAAGAGGCCGGCCTGGTCGGCCACGAGTGTCTTCTCGAGGCCCCGGACCTCTTCCAGGGCGTCGGTGGTCACGAGCGTGACCTTCTGGCGGAGTTTACTTTACGTGGCCATAATACAGGGAAGGATAGCGAATATGGCTTTCCCTAGTAGTATGGACGGCAACTTAAACTAAACTCCCCAACAAGAACCCAGCCTTGTGAGTGAAGCTTTCGGCGATGACTTCCGGCTTGCCTTGCAGCTTCTCCCGTGCCAACTGCGTCTTCCAATTCCTCGGCAACTTCGCAGGTCTTGCTGCCCATTCCTGAAGTGCTCGAGGTCCTTCCGCAGCTGATGTTTGCTCCTGAGCCTCCTCCTCCTCCTCCTGCTCCTCATCCGGTCTCTTGCCTGGGTTCTGGATAGGGACTGAAATAAAAAATGCCACGATAAGGAGACCATATGATTTACTGATACTGTAGATCCCTATCACAACGGCTCAAACAAAATTCCTTAACCCGGAACCCTGCCAATAGGCCCTATAAAAGAACCTTGAAAGGAAGCCCTTTAACAAGAGCCCAGCGTCGCTTCTTTGAGTCTGCCGGCTGCGGCTGCCGAGACGAGGCCTTCAATGGCTCGGCCCACTCCTTCATCCGGGCCTGAACAAGGGCCTTAACAAGCAGAAAAGGGCTTTGGGGGTGCAGGGTTTGGGGTTTAGGGCTGGGTTTAAGGGTCAGGGTTTGGGGTGCAGGGCTTGGGTTGGAGTGTGGGGCTTGGGGTTGGGTTTTGGGTTTGGGGTGCACTAAAGCCTTGAGAAATACAATGTGGCTTTTGTACAAGGACTACGAGCGGGCATTATCAGCAACAAAAGAGGGACTATGAAGGGGGCATTGTAGTACCAGCGGGGACTATAACCTCCCTAAACCCTAAACCCTATAGGCCCCTTACTACCTCTTCCGACCCCTTTTCTCGCCTGCAGCTCGCGAGCCACCTCAACCGGTGCGAGGCTTTCTGGCGACTGGAAGCCCTTGTTGTTGACGCCGAGCGACGCGCCCTGCTTGAGGAGGTATATGACCTGGATTTGGGGAACTTAGGATTTTCGGTTCAAGGCAAACTGACATACCAATAAGTAAGTCTATAGAACCACAAGGGGCATCAAAGGGTTTCAGAAAATGCCACCCAGTGACCGTCTCGGTCTTTTTCGCTTCCATCGCGTAAAACATGGGGGTCTCGCCCCACTTGTCTGCTTGATGGACGCTCATGCCCAACTTCTCGACGAAGTATGCACACAGCCTCAGCTACACTTCATGACTTGAAGTACACGGATCCAAACCTTCTGCGCGCGCAAACTTTCAGGATGAAGGCAAGTTCCGGCTCAGAATCCCGACAATATCTCCAAAAATGCCTTGAAGCCGTGCGAAGCCCATTCCATACTCTACCCCAAAGACGCATCCCAGTCGCTCTTTGTGTCCTTGTCTAGCTGCGTAGAACCTGATCGGCAAGTTCACGTCGAACCGAACTTTACGGACTAGACCATTGCCCTCGCTGGTGTTATTGTTAGTCTTGCTCTTGCTGGTAGTGCTTTTACGGTCCCTATGATGATGATCACGACTATTGCAATGGCAGTGCAACTGTCGCTTCTGTTGCCTGCTGCCATGGCAGCCGTCTGGTGCAGAGGCTGGCAGTTTTGGGTGAGGAAGTCTCTAGCGGGATGTTTTGGTCCTGATGCACATTCCCTGTCACTGGGGCTTTGCAAGGCTCTCAAACCTCGGGCCTTTATACCTCGAGCCTCGGGGCTTGAAAACTTAAGCAAACAAATGATTCCAAATGATAATAGAGACAACAAATGACAAAACAAGGAAAGTGAAGAAACGCTTGCACAAAAGATGCCAGACAAAAGACACTCAAACAGAAAACAAACACTTAAACATGAAACGACTTTCAAACAACATTAATGTGGCTTTGCAAGCATGGAGAGCGTTCAAATCAACTCTACGAGGCCTTAAACATCCAAAAAGACTGCGAAAGAATTCCAAAGATTGGCAAGGCGTTCACAGTTTTCGGTGAGGGGGCGCAGTCTGCCCCCCTGGAGTCCTGTTGGGGGTGCGAGGGAGGTAAGCCCTCGATCCGGGGTGCAGCGTGGAGCCCTGCGGAAGCGCGGCGATTGTTTGAGTTTTGAAAGGCCTTCCATAAGGATTCATGAGGCTCACAATAGCTTTTCCAAGACTTCAAACAAGGATTCATCAGATTCAACAAGATGCATCAGTAAGATGTGATAAGGATCTTATTGGCCCTGTTTGCCAGACATGCGTGGCTTAAAGCCCTGCTACGTTTTCAAGGCCCGTAGTTCTGGGGCCCCTAGTTACCCTCGGATTGGGTTTTATGTTGTGGGGCTTCGGACTGTGCGGCGGGGCTGAGGCCGGTGAGGACTGGGAGTAGGGTAAGGCCGATTGGGGCTCTGAGGCAAGATCACGAAGTCGCATGCGAGCAACAATGGGATAAAAGAGCTAGTAAGGACAAGTCATAAAGGCAGAGAGGACCACGAACGCCAAAAATGAAGAAGGAAGACACATGGAGACAAAGAAAGAGAAATCAAGATAACTGAGGACAAAGCTTGATTTGATAAAAAGGTGGCTAGATAAGCTTCAATAATTTGGTGCTTTGTAGGATTTTGGAGCTGAAAGCCCAAAGGGTTTAAGGGCCGAGGTGTGAGAGGACCGCAGGGCATTGACGATCCTAGCCGAAAGCGACCACTAAAATCAAGGGCCTCGAACCACTGTACAATACGACAACAACCTCAGGGAAGATCAGTGTAGCACACGACTCGTAGAAGCCCCCGACCCAGTCTGTCCTTTTGGGACCACGAGACATCGGCATAGAAAGTATGAACATGAACACCTTACTTGGGGTTACAGTGACTAAGTCCCATGATGGCTTCAACCATAGGAAACCTGAACCCAACTGCCACACAGCCGAGCAACAAAGGGCTTTGGCCCCAGTCATCCCTCTTTGTTGCCGGCACGCGCATTCGACTGGGCTGCTCAGATATTGGGTGTTAGCCCAGAGACTCCAACCCCTAAATTAAGGACTACCTTTATTGCAGGGAGATCCCTAGCATAATTCAAGGTATATTTCTTAATCTAAGGGGTTTGGGAGTCTGTGCGACGGGCTCCAATACAGGCTCTTATAGGGGCCTTACTATGCATACCAGGCTTTCGTGGTACGTACATTGTAGTATGGGTATACTGAAAGAACACCAAGGAATCATGTTGGCAATTACTTCAGCCCTACAGAGGTCAAGACGTGGCAGAAAACAGGGCTCGGCTAAGGCCAAGACTAAGATGTGTACGAGTTCGGGCTGATGTAACCGCTAGGACAGACCCCAACTGCACCTAGAAGAGGGCTCTTCCGGAACAACTCGGATGAACCGTTGATGCAGCATGCTCCCGGACCCCATCGTTCAACCCGTCAGCACCAGGCCTCATCAGGAATCGACAAATTTTCTCAGCGTCGATTGGATCCTGTGCAGGGACCCTTCAAGAAGCTTGCTTTGGGCTGCAAGACAAGACCTCTTTGGCAGCATCGGTAGGTGGTGTGTTTTTGCTATGTCCCCAGCTTGTCATAGCCTTGACACCCCATCATCACACTTCCCAGCCCCACCCTTTGGCGCTAGTGTTGTCCCGAATGCCTCTACGGCACCGTCAAAACCCTGCTAACACATCCAGCTCATTGTGGCGATGGTACCTGCATCCAAATCCGACAGTAACCACTGGTCAAAAAGGTTGGGGCCCAGGTGGTCCAGTTCACGTTGCCAAGGCCTGAAACATCCGTGATGATCCCGGCAATCGCGACTACTAGCCGATGATTCTGCTGAACTTCTTGCTCAACCTTCCAAAACCATCCCGCCGCCGCCATCACATCAAAGCCCGCCTGCCGTGCAGCGGCAAAGTACAGCGCCGTCTGCCCGCGCCTTACAGCACGAAGAGTGTGCAAGTAACAGCTAGAACATAATGAAGGAGCGTTTCCAGAAGGGGCACCGATGGCACGTCATAACCGAATGCATCCTAGGCCTTGCTACAAGACCAAGGCGCGACTTCCACTTTGGGTCGACCTGCGCGGCGGCGACCCAGGCTTCCTCCTCGCGGCACCGCGATCCACTCTGCAGACGACCGAAAAGAAGGAAAATGAAGTGATGCGAGTCTATATAAAAAGTGGTAAAGAAAACGATCGCCCTTTGCAGGGTGATGTAAGCAGTGCACATAGTGACAAACAAGACCAAGCTGGAAATGATGATGAGAAACAGGATGTCGAATCAGAACGTGATGATGAAGATGATGAAGAAGAAGATGTCACTGATGATGAGGATGATGATGATCATCATCATCATCATCACGATGGGAATATCAATGAGCATGATGTTGAACATCACGACGGCGGTGGTGACCGTGATGATAGTAAAAGAAGAAGGGTGTTGTTGTGTGTGTTGCTGGTGATGAAGATGGTGGTGGTGATGATGCTGCTCTTGGTGGTGATGATGATGATGATGTAGATTAAATAGATGATGATGGAGATGCTGATGCTAATGGTATTGGTGATGATGATGACCTCGATGATGATGCTGATGATGATGATGATGATGATGATGGCGATGGTGTTGGTTATTACAGTGGGGACGACCGTGAGGATGATGCTGACTTGATGTTGATATCCGATGTCGGTGTTGGTGTTGATGTTGCCGCCGCCGGCTGGTGGTGTCGTGTTCGTGTTGGCTTTGATGTTGGTGTTCGCACTGGTGTTAATGTTGGTACTCGTGCTGGTGGGGCGGGTGGAGGGAGGGTGGGGGCTGCGTGGTGGCGGTTGTGGTGCGACGTCGATGATAGCGTGCATGGTGGTGTGGTTGCGGCGCATATTCTGAATAGCCCTGACGGGCCTGGCAATAGAGTTAGAAAGCATATGTTTTCAGGTCCACGTTGGTAAAACTATATACTCGCATTTCTAAAATTTTGTGCTGATGGTTTTCGCACTGTCACGGTGGTTCTGTTCTCTTTTGTGTGGAGGCTAGGACCTGTAGTGTTGTCTTAACATTTACTGATGTGATGTGATAAAGGCTCAGGAACCGCTGTTCGTATGTATTGCAGCTTAAGCACGGCCGGTGATTTCGGCCGTAGGCTGCAACTCATCAGAGTAAACATAATTCATCGTTGCCAGTATTTGCACGGCTAGCGCCAGGGAGGCTAATTATTCCCGAGAGTGCCTAAGAACTGTTCCTGTTTCAAGAGTTGTGCGTCTGTGGCTTAGACCAAAGACCTGAAGTGGTTTGTTGTTGTTCATGTCGTTGATGAGCCTAAACAGAAGGTGTCTGCATGAGACCCGAACTCAAGTACGGATTCAAGACTTGCACTGCAAGTTAAAACGGTTCAATTGCTCAGCGTCGCAAAAGACGTTGCGAATCCCTAGCGCCGCACTTCCCAGCTCCTGTATTCCATCACGGATCTTGAGGAGCAGCCGGACGTCCTGACAGTCCCCTAAACCCTCAAGCCTCCTAAATCGTAGGCTTCAAGGATCTAAACTCGTGACTGTAGCCCCGGCTACTTTGCAAGTCTGCCCGGTTTTCGCACACAAACCTCTAACATAGAGGCCCTAGGATTTAGAGCAGGATAGTTGTTTTTAAACCTCCACACTCCTAAACCCCTGAACCCTAAACCCTGAAAGACGAGGTAAATCCCAGCAGGGAATCGGATCCTGGAGATTTGTGCCAGCCTTCCTTGCCGCCACGAGCCAGGCAGCAGGTGCCTTCTTCGTCTTCCGGGTCGCCATGACGACGTTTCAGGGAGTCAGTGATTAGAAAAAAGTTCGGAGGGAGAAGTACACTCTTCGCACCAATCTGAACAACAGAAACGGAAGCTGCTGCTTCTCCGGCTGTGTATTGCAATGCACTTAAGCATGCGACCAAACGGTTCTGGCTTGCTTGAGCTGCCTTCAGCGGCTATGGACACGGAAAATGCAGACAGAGGTAGCAGGACTGCATTTCCGGCTCTCGACGATTCGTCGAGCACAGAGGGGTATCTCTGAAAGGGCTCCTTAAAGGGATCTATAGGGTTCCTTAAAAGGGATCTATAGGGTTTAGGGTTTAGGGTCTACTTGGGGGTTCATGGGACTTAGTAAGTACAGTTATAAGTACCCTAACTGGGGTTATATCCAATTACAAGTATTATAGTTAATTTATTTATAACCATAGTTACTAAGTCCCATGAACCTTTAAGTAGGATCCTCCAAACAGCAACAAACACTTGCACTAATAGTCACATTACTAGGAATACTCAGAATAGCAATAGTAATAAGAAGGACAATAAGAAGACAAAGAGTAACAGTAATAGTAATCGTAATGGTACTTAATAATTAACAAGCAGTAAAAGTAATACTCATGCTAAGACTAGCAGCAATAGAGACAGCAATAGTACTAGTGCTAGTAATAGATAGTAATCCCAAAGGCTCCATGTGCCTTTATAGTAAATACTTAAGCCTTAAAAGGGGGTCCCGATATGGGTACTGTAAGGCCTAAGTATATACTACATGGGTACATGGAGCCTTAGGGAATAGTAACAGGCCAAGGCTTCGAAAGCACGCGCCGGAGCTGTGGGCAGCTTCAATAACCCCTCCGTACTGCTGGTGCTTATTGTGCGGGGGGGTTAGGGTTCATAGGGTTTGGTACCAGATGGTACGAAGTCGTGTTCTGCTCTTGCTCACCAAGAGGTGAGACACTTGTGACGAAGGCTGAAAGAATGTTGAAACTGCCTGACCTGATCCAGCGCAATTAGCAATAGTCCGAACTTGCGGCGCTGTCCCATCTTTTCGGCAAGGTCAGTGAAGCTTGAACTTGAAACATCCAAGCCGGCACAAGATTCAAAAGTCGATGCCCTGAACCTGGACAAATTCTTCAGGAGACCTTGGAGCACAGTATCTTAGTACAGCAAGAGCACTGCCAGCAAAGAAACAGCTTGGGAGCCCGCGGTGAGTACAACCAATTCGGCGTGACCGGGATCAACTCAGGCATCTCCGGATCCGTCGCGGAGTCATCATCCCGTTTAGGAGGCTCCACCATGCGGCAGCACCGGATCGTTTTTCTCACGCGCAGCCCCTTGTAGTGCCACGGCGCCAAAGCCGTTTGCACCTCGTGCTGCAAGGTCATGGAGTTTCCAGGGCCCTAAACCCTAAATCCTGAACGAGCTGAAGAGGGAACCTGCTCACCACATCCAATATCTGCTAAAACCGAGGAGCATATGGCTCGATCTTGATCTTCTCCTTTGGCGCTTCAGGGGCATGCTGAGCACGGCGGACCATCTTCACGCACCTGCATACCGTAATGAACCCCAAACCCCTATGTACTAAGATTAAAATATACCCCAAAACAATTATGTACTAAGATTCTAATATACTCCAAACCCCCTATGTATTAAGATTCTGATATACCCCAAACCCCCATGCTTGTGACTCAGAGAGCTTGCATATGGGATCGTGGCGGCCTTCGGAGCGACCGCAGAGCCCGTCAGGGTTTAGGGTTAGGCTACAAGCCCTTTATAGTAATCCTTCTGGACCCCTTTAAAGGGAACTCCAGAAAGTTGGAATATGGTTTCAGGGTAGGATACCCTATAATTTCCCATAAAGGGTTTAGGATAATCATATTCCAACTTTCTGGCTTTTATTGTATAGCAATCCTTCTAGACCCCTTTAAAGACGCCTTATTCTAATTATTAAGGCCCCTTTACATTAGCTAATGTAGGAACCTGATTAAGAAACCTCGTGCCCTGAAAAAGACTCCCTCTATGAATCCTGCGACCTTGGGGCTAGAGGCCCAGGGTTCCTTAATCAGGTTGCTACATTAGGGTCGGAACTGCAATGGTGCTGGCGAAGGTACATCGAGAGCATGCTCATTGTCGTCTCGGGTGCCGGCTCGTCGTGGATGTCGAAACCCATTCCTCGGCTCCACAAGCTGCCAAGGAAAGCACGGCCAGGACAAGCCCAGCAACAAGCTGCAGAAGAGCGCAGAAAGCACAACCGGTATAACTTGAGAGAGAGAGAGAGAGAGACAAACAGACAGAGAGAGAGAGGTAGAGAAGTAGAGAGATAGAGAGATAGAGAGACAGAGAGATAGAGAGAGAGAGAGAGCGAGAGAGAGAGAGAGAGAGAGACATAAAAAAAGAGATGGAGAGATGGAGACATAGAGAGATGGAGAAATAGAGAGAGATGGAGAGACGGAGAGATGGAGAGAGATGGAGAGATGGAGAGATAGAGAGATAGACAGAGAGAACCAGAGAGCGACGACAGGATCCGAACGCAGTTTTCCCTTGTTCTCCTGATCAGCCCTAAACCTTTAAAAGTAAGCCCTAAACCGTAAAACCTAATAACTAAACCCTAATAAACCCTAAGAACTGAGCCTTAAAAGCTAAGCGCTAAGCCCGAAACCCTAAAGCTAAACCCTAAAGTCGTGGCGGCCCAAGCATCGGAAAAATTTCTGCTGCGCTGGCGAGTTCACGTATAGGACACGTACTGCCACGGAGTCGAAAGTCCATCCTGCGGTCAACGCCTCCACGGGCAGGCAGGGCTTCAAGATCATAATAACATGTCCGACGTGGAGTCTCCCTGGCCCTCGGAAGCAAAGTTGAGTCCCCCAGGCATTATAAGCCTGTTACTACGCCCCATGTGATCCTTTCTTTGAGCAGAGGGCTTTGGAAGAGGGTCCAGGTGCCTGCGAAATGTACACTGCTGCTCATGTCTGGGCTCTGCTCCGGGCTTCATGTGTGTTTTGCAAACTTCTTGTTGGCCCTCGTGGCAATTGCAAGAGCAACGAAGAAGATTGCTTCGCAAAGGCTTATCGGATGCTTGAACACCAGGAGGATGATGATGATTACAAACCCACATCACAATGCTCAAGATGATGACAGCGACAACCAGGAATGCGGCTGCTACTATTGATACTGATACTGACACTGGCACCGATGCTTACTACTACTTACTACTTGCTACGACTACAACTACAACCACAACTACGCTAATTATAACACTAATATTAGCGATACGAATAATGATAATAATAATCACAGTCATCATCGAAATTAAAAATAGTAATCTGCCCCGGCCTGAGCCTCGGCAGCGCGGATCAACAGCGTTCCTACGCCTTTGCCCTGATGGTCATTGTGCACCTCGCCGGGCGCCGGCGGCAGCTAAATGGGCTCCCTTAAGAGAGTCATAGTTACTCCCCTTAGGGTTCCTGTATAGGGGGCCTCATAAATCATGCTTTGGCTGTAAACTATGTTGTACTTGCAACTAAACAGGAACCCTCAAGAACCCTGAACTTGGGCACTCGCTAAACTATACTTCGAGTAAGGAACCGTCAGGAACAATGCGAGTGGCTGATTGCTTCCGAACAGCGCTCACGTGGTCGTTCTTAAACCCTCGCCCTTGAGCCCTAAGCCGCAAACCCGAAGCCCTGAGCCCGGGAGCCCGAGCCATAAGCGTCAAACCCTGAACCCCTAAGGCCATAAACCCTAAATCCGGAGCCCAAAACCCTATAAGCCCCAGACCCTAACTTTAAACTCTCTTATGGAACCCTTCGTAGGATCATTATTCTAATCCGAAAGCCAAACCCCGAAACCTGAAACCCGAAACCCCAAGCCCTGATACCCGGGCCCGAAGCCCAAAGTCTGAAACACGTCGCCTTGAGATGGCCAATCAGCAGCTCTTTTTTGCCCTTTTCCGCATGGACGAAGCCTACGATGCGCCCGGTCATTTTGTCCCGAGCCACCTCAAGGTTTGGCGCGTGTACGGTCCAGGGTTTAGGGTTAGGGATTAGCCAAGCCGCCAGCACGAGAGAGCCAACTTTGCCGCGATTCGCGACAATGTGAGAGTATTCAGCAAAAAACTGGCCATCCTTCTCATAGGCTCCCAGTGCTAAGCAGAAGTCGGCCGCCCTGCACGCCCGGACGAACAGCTTCTTCTTGAACAGGACAGCCTGGTCCGCCACGAGCGTCTTTTCCAGCAGGCGGACCTCCTCCAGGGCGTCGCTGGTCACCAGTGTCACCTTCTGGGCTCTTGCTAAGAGGGTTATTGCTAAGAGGGTTACTTCAAGTGTCCATTATACACGGATCGATAGCAAATACGGTTTTCCGTAGCAGGGTCCTAAACCCTGAACTGAAATCCCTAACAAGAACCCAGCCTTGTGTGTAAACGTGTCAGCGATGACTTTTGGCTCTCCTTTGAGCTTCTCCCGAGCCAACTGGGTCTTCCAGTTCCGCGGCAACTTCGCGGGCTTTGCCGCCCATTCCTGCAGCGCACGGGGTCCCTCTGCGGCTGATCCTTGCTCCTCAACCTCCTCCTCATCCGGCCTCTTTCCTGGGTTCTTGTTAGGGTTAGGGAATTAATTTCAATTGCCAGAATAAGAAGACGACGTTGTTCATTCTAGATCCCTAGCATGGCAACTTAAAATAAGTTCCTTAACCGCAGACCCCAAACCCGAGAGTAACCCTTACAGCAACCCTTCAAGGGAGCCTCAAAGGAAACCCTAAGCCCTAAACCCTCCAATCAAGCCTCCAACAAGAGCCCAGTTTCTCTTCTTTGTGTCTCCCGACCGCTCCGGAGCCTTTGAGGGCTCGGCCCACTCCTTCATCCGGACCTCGCTTCAAGTGGACTATTATTGGTATTCTTATTGTTATTATAACTGTTATTACTAATGTTATTCTTCTTCCTAGTAGTAGTAGTGGTAGCAGCAGCAGCAGCAGTAGTACTGCTGCTGCTGCTGCTGCTGCTGCTACTACTACTACTACTACTACTACTACTACTACTACTACTACTACTACTACTACTACTACTACTACTAGAATTATTCTTATTACGATTACTACGGTTGTTAGTACTAGCAATCTTGTTTTCTTCTGATTATTATTGTTCTGTTTGTTCTTACCACTATTCTAATTCTTACTGTTACTGCTATAGTTACTGTTCGTACTACTTTTGTTATTATGACCAGTACTATTATTTCTATTACTAGTATTTTTATTTCATCCGGACCTGAAAGAGGGGCCTGAGTGACTGGAATGGAGTTTGGGGTTTGGGGTTTAGGGCTTGAGGTTTCGGGTTTGGGTTTGGGGTGTGGCTTAAGTTCGAGCCCTAATGAGCAGAATGGGGTTTCGAGGTACATACTATAAGGACTACCCTTACTAACTCTTCCGACTCCTAAACCATAAACCCCCAGCCCCTGAACTTCCGACCCCTTTTCTTGCCTGCAGCTCGCGAGCCACCTCCACCGGTGCAAGGCTCTCTGGCGACTCGAAGTTGTGGTTGTTCACCCCGAGCGACGCACCCTTCTTCAGCAGGTATATGACCTGGATGTTGGCAGTTTGGGGTTTCGGGGCTTGAGACTGTATTGAGATGTTTAGGGCTTAGGGTATGTGGGAGTTTGAGGTTTCGGGTTCGGGGTTCAAGCCAAAACGGCTCATCAAGAAGTGGACCAATCGGCGCATTAAGAGCCACCAAGTGACCGTCTCGGTCTTCTTGGCTTCCATCGCATAAAACATGGGGGTTTCCCCCCACCTGTCCACTTGATGGACATTCATGCCCAACTTCTCAACGAAGTACGCACAAAGCCTCAGCTACGCTTCATGATTCAAAGTACGCAGGTCCACACCTTCAGCATGCGCAAACATTTAGGGTCAAGGAAGTCTCCGCTCATAACACCGACAAAATCTCCAAATATCTCGAAGCCGTATTCCGAGATTGCAGCCCATTCCACACTCTACCCTAAAGGCTCATCCCAGTCGCGCCGTGTGTCCTTGTCTAGCTGCGAAGAACCTGAGCGGCAAGATCATGCCGAGCAGAACTTCATGGATTAGCACAGTGCCCCGGTTGGTGCATTTGCTTTTTGCGCTTGCTGATAGATAATAATGCCGTTAGAGCCCTTATCACGATCACTACTATTGCTATAGTGATTGCAACTCTTGCTTCTGTCATGCGTTATCATTGTTACGACTGTTAGCGGCCGAAGTTTTGAGGTTAGGCTCCCTCTAGGCCGTTGTTTCGGGAACAAAGCGAATCCTTCCTGTTGCACCTCCCTTCCAAACACTAAACCCTAAACCCTATACCCTAAACCCTTTAAAGTCCTCGAACTGGGGGAGGTCAAGCCTCAATTAAGACGACAAGTTAAGACAAACTTGGACAACACGAAGACAAGCTGAGACAAGGCGAATTACCAGCTATTGACAAAAGAAGGAACGCCATGACAAAGCTTGTACAGAAGATGCCAAGCAAGAAGCCAAACAGTCAAATAGACACTTTAACTAGGATGCCCAGTAACCTAGGAATAAAGAGGGCCCCCTTTTTGGTATTGGGTAACTTTATAAGGAACCTAGGACTACAAGAAGGAATAAGGGTACTACTGGGCATCCTAGTTTATAAGTTGCAAACTTTTTGAGAACCATGTCAAGAAGGATTTACAAAGGTCCCACGGTTTAGGGTCCTAGTGTTGAGGGTTTAGGGTCCTGTGTGACAAACATGTACGGGTCGGTACTATATTAGGGTCCCCTATGGCCTATGTTCGGAAACCCCCATTCGGTGTCTTGTAGGATTCTGGAGCTAACAGCTCTGAGGGTTGAAGGCTGGGAGTTTGAGAGCGCCGCATGAACGATCTTACCTGAAGCGACAGGGGCCTCCGAACCACTGTAAGACGTCTGAAAAGAGCCCAGCACATCGCACGACTGGTAAAGAAGCCCCGACCCCAGTCTGTCCGTTTGGGATCAGGAGACATCGGCATAGTGAGTAAGACTACAACGCCCCGATTCGGGTTATAGTCACCATGTCCCATCATGGTCAAAATTATCGGAAATCTGAACACTGATGCCACACAGCCGAGCAACAGAGGGCTTTGGCCCCAGTCATCCCTCTTTGTTGCCGGCACGCGCATTCGACTGGGCTGCTCAGGGATTGGGTGTTAGCCCAGAGACTCCAACCCCTAAATTAAGGACTACCTTTCTTGCAGCGGGATCCCTAGCATAATTCAAGGTACATTTCTTAGTCTAAGGGGTTTGGGAGTCTGTGCGACGGGCTGCAATACAGGCTCTTATAGGGGCCTTAGTATGCATAACAGGCTTTCGTGGTAAGTACACTGAAAGAACCCCATGGAATCATGTTGGCAATTACTTCAACCCTACAGAGGTCAAGACGTGGCAGAAAACAGGGCTTGGCTAAGGCTAAGATGTGTACGAGTTTGGTGTTTCTTGCTGATGTCACCGCTAGGCCGCTAGGACAGACCCCAACTGCACCTAGAAGAGGGCTCTTCCGGAACAACTTGGATGAACCGTTCATGCTGCATGCTCCCAGAACCCATCGCTCAACCCGTCAGCACCAG